AATTTGGATCTTAAATATTCAAGGGTGCATTGCTTTAGCCACCACCTTACTTGCAAAAATGTTAGAGTGAGATAAATCGACAAATGTGTATTTATTTAATTAAAATAAATTTATTTTAACTATTGTTTCAGAAAAAATGTTTCCTTTCAAAAATAATAATAATAATGCGTTCGTTTTTTTGATATTGGTAACAATGAGCACATTGAGCCACCATTCTGTTTATTTAAGCGTCAGTCAGTATAAGCATAGTAAAAACAGAATAGTAGGATTCTCCCGCGCCGCGCGAGACTAAATGCCTACTGTTTCAGGTAACAGCTAAGTCTCATTTGGTGTTATAAGTAGTTATAAGTAGTTATTTCCAAACATAATACATACGGATACGTACCTGTACATCATATTTGTTTATCATTTATTTAGTTTCTTCTCAAAGAATAAATGTTTGTCAAAAAAAATTCCAGCTTTACTGTAATGTAAAGCTGGAATTTTTTTTCAGCTTTACATTACAACAAATGCCAAATAACTAAAATACGAATAAATTAACACAGAGCATATGGTGTCAGCTCAGATTTAATGTTTAAAATTAATTTTATCTGATGTGATATGGTAATTAATGTACTTATGAGGTATGTATCTATGTATAAATATAGTATATAACCTACCACTTGAAAAGTCTATTTGTGTATACTGTGCATTAATTGTGTTTTCGATTTACAAAATTCGAATTGTTTAATTGTAGAATCACTGAGCTGTACAATAGTAACCTACCTAATATACTTATACTATGTTTATGTAGAAAAATAAATGGCAAAAACAAAGTATTTACTGTCGAATATTTCCCACATTGCTATTGATATTTGCGTTGAAAAAGTTTTCACTTCTGACGTGCCTATCTACTACCTAAGATTGATAGTTTTTTTTAATATAGAAGGGAGGGTGGAGGATAAACGAGCCTGATAATACGCGGGGGAAATGCAGGTGTGTTGCCGGCCTTGGAGCTTACTCCTTTCCTGATGATTCCAATGAAAAGATCGCCGTTGGTTATCATTCTACAAAAACTTGTGAGAGGAGGAAACTCTTAAAAAATAGCACAGTGGTGGACCACCAAGGATCCAGATGGTGTCTTTGGTATCGTAAGTTTTATTGCGATGTACGATGGTGACATTTGGTGTCTGTTTGAAATAAATACGAACTATTCCTCTGAGTACTTACGGTAATAAACGCAATAGAAAACGCAAAGTAAGAAAATAAAAGAACTTGATCGTTGACCATTCGGGCCACTCATTACTGGATGTCGTCAAGAGAAAGGAACTGGTACTAGGATGCCGCGGGACAGAGATAAATATTTAGCTGTCATAATTTTGATTTTTGACACAGCCATTAAACTATCGAGACTCTCGGAGGACTTCGTCAAAAGCGTCCTTCAGTCGATCGTTCTCATGATTTACTGCTGCCTCCCAATACTTCTATGCAACTTTTACAAATTTTTGAGAAAGACACTTTACAGGCAATAGTGTCATTTTCGAAAGGCTCTGCTGGCAGGATTGATAGAAAAACGCCTCAACTTTTGAAGATAGTATAAGCGCATCTGCCAAATGCAAAATTATGTAATTTTAAGCTTTCTGGTAATGTTAATCCCATTTTCATTCCTTACTTCCATATCCATCATAATGCTTTTAATTCCACATTTTGGTGCTTAACTTCAAAATTTACTTGCAGGTACATAATATCTAACCTTGAGATAAGGAATTTCAGCCTACTCAACTAGGCTTTGGCTCTACTAGGTGGCTGTGAGGTGACAGAAAATTCAATGGCGCACATTTTTAACAAACTCTGATGCAGATATATAGCAGCAGGTTGACTTAAGAAATGCTTTTTACTTTATTAATAGGGTAGTCCGGCTGAAAGAAGTGGCTGAATGTGTGTCTTTCTACTGTCAAAATACTAAATTGTTTTACGAAAACCATAATATAATTATACCAGTAAATACACAAAACAGTGCCTCAGTGGTTCTGTGGCTCTTTAGTTTTTTTGCACATTTTCTTAATCTTTTTACTTTAAAGAATATCTGTAGTTTGGTTTATTCATTTCTAATCTAATGAATATACAATATAACTAATTCAAATTCAAATATTTTATTTTCTGTAACTTAGTCTATTACAAATATTAGATGTAGGAACCCCCCTTTAGGCAAAACATCGCCTGTGGTGGGAAGAACCGCTCTTTTTACAAACAGTTACATAGAAAACTAAATTACAACTTATACACTAAAACAAGCAACTAATGTCTCAGCAAGAAACATTAACTATTTAATTTTTCTTACTTACTTCTCCTACCATGAAATTAATTGAATAGGTACAGTCCTCGCGGCGTAAACTGAACTTTTCATTTGTGTGAGTGCACACAGATAGTGTACAGTGGGATACGGCTTGAGGCGCAGCGCGTCCCGCGCATGGTTTAAACCAGTTTATACTGGTTTTTAAAACGCGGCCTGAGGCGCGGCGCATCCTCCACGCGCCGCTTCCCTGCCGCGCACATTCCCCACTTCACCTCTGGTACCGCTAGCAGATAGACGTGTAATTTTTTGTGGTTGTGTTCGAATTTTTTGTGTAATGGCTCCTACTGTAAGTAAATTGACTAAACGACCATTAAGCAGCCAAACAAAAGAAATTTTATACAAATGAATACGTATTTCAAAGATTTAAACATGGAAATACATGTACTTCGTCTATACTTCCGTGGATTTAAACGACAAGGATATGTCAAGTGTCGTTACGTCGGCCCAATCGGTAGCGACATCGACGGGAATTCCACTGTCAACTGTAAAAAAGGTTTTATTAGAAGGTAAATGTGCTTTGGAAGATGGAAGCAAATTTAAATCTCCGAAAAAAAACAAGTTGCAGGAAAAATATCATTGTGATCGATGATTTTGATAAAGCGGTAATTCGGAGAATACTTCAAAACTTTCACATCACCGACAAACAGGTTCCCACTATGAAAATATTACACGAAAAGTTAAAGGCAGAAATAAATTATCCAGGTGCAATTACGTCGTTAAGAAAAGAAGTATCTCTATTAGGATTCAAGTGGAAAAGGACAGAAGATAATCGCAGAATCCTTATAGAGAAACGTGAAATCCGATATCTTCGAATAATGTTTCTCTTTAAAATTGTCGAATATCGCGCTCAGGGCCGCCCAATCGTTTATACTGACAAAACATATATAGACACGTCTCACACTTCGTCGAAATATTATTCAGATGGAAGCACCTCTGGTTTAAAGAAACCAATTTCTAAGGGAAATCGGTTAATAATAGTTCATGCCGGCGGAGAGGACGGTTTCATACCCAATGCCCTACTCATGTTCAAGGCAAACCAAAAAAGTGGTGACTATCATTATAACATGAACACCGAGAATTACACAAAATGGTTGCAAACGCAGCTAATTCCAAATTTAAAACCGAATAGTGTTGTGGTGGTTGACAATGCATCATACCACAATTCGTATCAAAATCCCGCGCCCAATTCAAACCATCGTAAACAAGCTATGATTGATTGGCTCAAATATCGAAATATCGATCACTCTGGATCGATGCTTAAACCACAACTTTATCAGTTGATACTACAAAACAAAGCAAGATTTATTGAATATAAAATTGATAATTTGCTCCAAGAACGTAGTCACAGCGTTCTACGTCTACCACCCCACCACCCTTATTTCAATCCTATTGGAAATATATGGGCAACGATAAAAGGATACGTAGCTTAAAAAAAACGTATCAATGAATATGGACACTATAATGAGATTAACAAAGGAAAAAGTTGACGCGATCACTGTACAAGAGTGAAAAAATGTTTGCGACCATGCAGTTAAAGAAGAAAAAGCATTTGATGGTCGAGACGCCGCTATCGACGGTTTATCGGAGCGATTCATTATTAACACAGGCTCTGATGAGTCATCAGACGAGAGTGAAGATGAAGATGCAATGAGCGGAGAAGAAGAGTTATAATATTGTTATGTAGTTTATTACTATTATTACTATTTTAGGATAATCAAAATATCAGCATTAACTTTTATTAAAACATTGATTTTTTACTAACTGTACTTTTGGCGATCACTCACACAAATGCAAAGCTCAACTTACGCCGCGAGGACTGTATATCAACGAATATTTCTTATCATTTTTATGTAACAATGCCCTGATGTCAGAAAAAGTCATGGATGCCGTCAATGTGAAGAATTTGGTAAATAAAATTCACATTCGGATAGACATTGCCTTAATTGATAAATCGAATCTCTCTCTTTTTGGCTCGCGATCAAGAGTTTTTGCGTAAACTTAACCGCCGGTGGAATGCTGCTCCTTTTTTTGCGTTTAAATATTGGCATGTAAGTGGTGCGATTTTGTGTATTAAATATCTGCGGGTATAAACTATTCGCGGAAACGATGTAAAAAGATGGTGATATAAATCTCAGGTTTTTTTCCGCTTCGGGGCCTTGAAATATTATTGTCATAAGCTGTCTACTGGGTTAAACTGTCATCAAAGTTTCCCGAGAACTTTCTATTCCTAATGTGAATCGTCAGCATATTGTGAAGAGTTTTGTGAATAAAATACAAATCAGATTAGGCTGTATGGTCTGAGATCTTTGTCTACCTTTAAATCGCGAATCTTTAGCAAATCTCTACAACCGCCATAAACTAATAAGAGTATATACTAAATCTATGAATTAGAAGTACTAGCTCTACAACATTTGTTCTGTGTCTACAACAAGTGTATTGATTATATTCTCTGATATTCTCTTTGTCTTTGGCTCTACTCTACGAGCTACGAGAGCTCGTGGTAAAATTTAAATGTGATGGATTATTTTTATTCACGTGTTGTGCAGTGTTGACTTAAGTTTTCCGTTTTCGGAAAAGATTAATTAAAATGTAAAATTGTAGTGTTCATAGTTTACAATAGACTTAAACTAATTTGACGTTATTTAAAAAATATATAAAAATAAATATGAAAAACGAACCCTGTAATGTTTGCGGTAGTAGGGACTTAAATCTTATTGATGGATTCTATTATTGTGTTGAATGTGGTACACAAGATATCAACGTCCGTGAAACTATTGTAGAGCAGACATATTTAGCTGATGGAACCCTTGCTTTAGTCGGAGGAAAAAGGTTTTCTACAATCGTCAAAGATGGAATTGAAAGTAAAAACTAAAGCTCTACTACATAAACATTTCTTTCAATTCTTTCACATATTACAATGTGCATGGTCCTACTTAGCAATTGATTTATAATGTCCTGCAAAATGTTTCTTAATAATATAATGTTTCTTTTGTCTCAAAAATATATTTATATAGTATAATGGTGACAAACGAGCACACAGTCCACCTAATGGTAAGTGTATTCTGTGGCCCATGGACATGTACATTTATTCTCGAATAAATTTAAATATGTAGATGCATTGTCACCCTTGATAACTAAGATGGAATACATCGTTTCCAGTGAAAAGGGCCTCTGTTTATCTACACTCACCATACGAAGTACACAGCATTATGCTGCTATTTTCCACTGGTATTCTGTGAGAGTAGTCAAGCTGAGTCATGCTACAATCACATAGCTGCAGTGTGGCTCTACAACATATGTATACCATATGTAAGTACATCTTGTTAAGAAACTATCAAATTAAGTGGTCAGTTATATTGTAAGCTAAAAAGAAGCTTATTTACAGCAGTGACCTTCTGATAGGTAGTATTAATTACGATATAAGCAGGTTACTATTTAAATTGTTGTGAGGCATTTATAATTAAACCCATAACCTCATATCTCATATGCTCCTAGCCAATACATAATTCGAAGAGGCTTAGGTAGTTAAGAGGTTAGGGAAATTGAGAGGTTTTTGTACAATACTAATTGTGCTTAATTTATATATATCTCAAGGCTGATTTCCACAGGTTCAGTAATGGACTAAAACACTAAGTCCTACTGAAGTTATAAATAAAATTTACTCAACAAATAGTTCAATTGTAAATCATGGCATTTCCATGACTTAATTTTTTCCCTATGACTTTATACTTTTTACTAATTACCACGACTACTGACTGCATGTAAACAGAGAGTCAGTTCTCGGTGCTAGCACTAACGCCTGTTACTGAACTCATGTAAATCTGCCTTAAACTCACGTAAATCTGAGTCTGTTCTTGGCACCAGCATTGACATCTGTGAAGTTATTAGTACTGCATTTACATATAGACAAATCTTAAAATATGCATCATTAGTAGAGAAGGTATTTAAGCAGCAGGTTATAAACTTTTTAAAAAGATTCAAAAGGATAATAAGGAGCATTTCGAAAATATTGATAAGTAGGCAGGTTATTGATACTTTCCAAATAATACTGATTAGATTCCTTTTAACACAAATAACAAGTAAAAGTATGTATACAGTGGTGAAGCTAGAGCTCCAAGCTAGGGCAAGCCCAAGATATAAATTGATAAAAATATAGATTGTTGTTTTTAGCAGTTTTATAAAAATACACCACTCTTGATCTGTCTCCACGCTTCAGTTTCATATTCAGGGTTTGTATAAGCGAAAAAAAAAATTACATCCAATACAATACATGAACAAAAGTAAAACACGAACAAACTATGTACAAAATTAAAAAAAAAATTATTTAAATTCTAATGGATAACAGATAAGATAAGTGGAATTGTCTCGCTTTCTTATGGAAAGATTTAATTACGTCCACGTAAAATGTTGGTGAACATTTTAATTGTACCAATAACTGTTTTTAATTGCGATAATTGATAAGTCTGAAATACACTCTTAACCTTGTGTATTATCTCAACAAAGTTTAAAGATTTCCTCTCCGATTATCACTTTAACACACTTCAATTCATCACAAGGAACACTATTATCCTCCATTTTCATTAAAAATCTTTAAAAAAGCATAAATTTTGAACTCGTAATATTAAATCGCTTAAGATAAGCACACAGAGTAAATAAACATTGAAACGTGAAATGAACTTGCAAACGTATTGCCCGCGCGCCTCCGCTTTTAACAAATTTATTCCCAAAAGCCTGGCTTTAAATCTTTATACTAATTGCTATATATACAATCGTAGTTATATTTCATTATGGAATATTTTGCCATAGGTTAGAAAGAGAGTGATCGTCTTCTCGAAAGCCCCGTAAAAAGCCCACGCGAGCGAGGGAGACAACTATTAGCTCTATTAAAACTCATTTTTTATGACAGCAGCAGTATCGCTAAGGCAATACGAGGTCATCGGTCGACATGTGTCAAACAGTGGAGTGCGCGGGAAATTTGAAATAGCTTGAAACATTTTACGAGTTATTTTATTAATTGATATTATTGATTGATTCAGGTTTAATAAGGCAAGCCCGGCTTTTCGGCTTTAATGGAAGCTTCACCACTGTGTGTATACCCCTCAACTATGGATATTTTGTATTATTTTATTTGCTATATGCCTGTATGCTCATTTGTTACTCTTAGTAGTTTAAAGAAAATAATCTATATCTTTTGTTACAGTGAGTGGGGAATGGCACAAATGGCACGCCTATAACTTTATCCTAGCTGGTCTGACAGATGAGTTAATTGGTCTTGGGGCTAAACCCAGCGTAAAAATGAAGGTGCTCTGGATCTGGACACGGTATATAAAACGATTTCAAGTGAAAGAGGACTTAGAGTAAGTTCTTTTTAATTTGTGTGATTTATCAGTTCAAAGATTTAGAGAAAGTTTACAAACAAAATTTTTGCAATTTTTTTTTTATTATAGTCTAGAAGTAGGTTGGCCTCACACATCAGCACATTCAATAAAATGCATGTCTGCTAAGGCATACTTATTCTGAACATAGGTCTGGCTGTGAACAACACTAAACTAATAAGACAGGACAGACTAGAGTGATAGCTTTGGATATCCTTATCCTGTTTTTCATTTTAATAACGGAATAATTTTATTTTACAGATTGAAGAGTAAAACAGGAAAAGATAGTTTAAATATTTCTCAAATATCAAAAACCCAGATCGACAATGATAACAGTGAACAAGAAGAAGAGTCAGAAGTTAAGAAAAAGAAAATTAAATCTGAAAAATTTACAAAGGACATCAAGATTGTGACAAAAGGTTTATTACTTGCTATACTATATGTAGCTTTAAATTTAGATAAAAGTGATATACAGCTGTCGCATTTGTTTAGGTTTATTAAAGAGGGTAGATTAAGTTTTTTAAATTGTACTAAGTATATTCCAAAAGAAATAGACATAAAAGCGATACCGCATTGGAAAAGCTTCATTCTTTGTCAAAGTGATTATAATTCACATTCAATTAGAGCTTATGCTATGACGTGTATTAAAGCTTTAGATCTTGGTCTTCCCTTTGTTCCAGATTTAAAAAAGATCATAAATAACTATATGAAAGAACTGTGCCTTCCAAACGATTTTAAGAATTTAGTTTATTCTCTTATGCTTTACCATCCATGTGATTATCTTGACATAGATCGCGCCACTAAAAGCTGTTTAGTACGGCTTCCTGATTATGAAAATGCTGCTATGTCGTATGTTCTTGTTGCGTTAAAAATATGCTTTGGCTTGGACTGTGATTACGAAATGCGAATATCAGATGTGGTTGACAAAATCAATTATGAAGAAAATCATTTAAAATCACACAAATTAGGTATTTATTTAGAAATAACAGATAGATTATTTTCCTTTCGAGAATGGACTCGTTTTTTACAATTTAGGAAAATTGTGTTGTGTCAACATTATTTGCCAATGGCCAGACAATACAATCAAGAAGTTGATGATTATGTTCTTATGGAACATTTGGAAGAAAGAAACAAACATCCTGTGAAACTAAGGGATGAAGTTACAATGGACATTTTGAATAAAATACCTTACAAACATGACATCAAGCCTATACCTAAAACTGAATTCCAGGCTTGTTTGACTCCTATGTCTACATACACAGATGTTATAGTAACATATGTTCTGGACGATGAGTTGAGGCTGTTGTTGAGTGAAGATTTTACTCAATATGCTTTAAAATATGCTACTGAAGATTTAAAACTTTTTGATCAATATATGAAAAACTTAATTGTAGGCGTTAGTAATTCATATAAAAAAATAGAATCAGCTATAAGAAAAAATTTTGATTCAAAGAAAGGAAATGCTACTATGGTGTTTGTAAGGAACTGTGAAAATAAAAATTGGTTGAAAACACAGCCGCCGGCTGCAGAACATATAACAAAATTTTCCGAAAATAAAACATGTGAAAGTGATCATGGCGACGACTCATGCATTGAAATTACTCCAGATGAAACTAATAAAGATGTAAATGATATAGATTGCAATACAAAACTTGAATATTTTGAAGAGGAAAAAGAAAATATTAATATATTTGATGATAATTTTGATGATTTTAATGAAGAAGATAAATCTGTCATAGAGCCGTTCGGTAACAGCACTGAACATTTTAATGATAGCAGAATTGACGGATCTGATATTGTAAATAGTCGTACATTTCCTAAATTTGATCCAGATAATTTTGACAAAGCAAAAATTATTAATGAACTTATTTTGTCTGCATGCACGAAGTATAAAATAACATTGCCTAAAGAAAATAAAACAAGAGTGTCTAGAAAGCGTAGAAACGATCACGCGAACACTGATGCAGAAGAAATCGCACCTAAAAAGAAGAAGCCAATGAATACAGCAAAACTGAATGATGGGCAAATGAAAGTTAACGATGTGATTGCTGCATATTACAATTACCTAGACTGTGATGAACTTACAAAAGTATCGGAACAAGTTAAACATGCTGTCGATGCCATAGATAATAATCATGAAGAAGTTTTTAATGAAACCCAAATATTCATTCACAGTGCAAACAGTGAAAGTGAAAATGTTGATAACACACCACTCAATAATTCAGATCACTTTGTGCAGTCAGATGTAATCAGCGACACCCTTTGTACAGATAACTTAAATGATACTAATTCTGAACAATGTGAATTAGATACATGTGTTAACAAATACGATTCCGATTTTGACGAAAAGACGCACGATATTAAACAGTTATATGTTAAATTGAACAGTGATACCCCTATTGATAATGTTCCAAATGTAAGCGATGATGTAGACATAGATAGAATAATTTCTAACAAAATACAAGAATTTACTAACTACGATGAAAATCTTATTGAAGATGTAGGAAATAATGACACTGATTCCAGTGATAATGATGAAGATGATTACGATTTTCTAGAAAAGAGTAAATTTGAAAAAGAAAAGATCGAAAACCAAAACAATTTGGAGCCATTGATTAAACATCCGCTAAAAAAAAAAGAATTTAAGTATTGGATACGACATTATAATTCCAGGACCATTGGAAAGAATTTGGATATGCATCAAAAATTTGATACAGAGCTGAAAGATAAGTATCCAGCCAGTTTTTATTTTGTTATAAGCGAATGCGCGGCCGTATTAGGTTGTTCGACGTACAGTCTTTATAAAGGTATGCAGAGTTTAGAGGAGATAATTTTTGCGAAATCCAATTAACTACCCCTTTGATATTAAGAACCAACGACAACCACGTTATTCAAATTTTAATGTATGTGATAATTGATGCTTGTTATGAGTATTTGTGAAAAAGAACGAGTTAATGCATTTTGTTTGCATGTACACTTCACAACTACGTCATTAGCCTGATAGCAATTGTCAATCCATGGGTATTGGGCACCTACAGCTATCTCCTAAGTGAATAAGCACAAGAATTCGCACGAGAGTTAGAAATAGGTAAGATGATGGTACATATCCAAAAAGACTTGTAGGCAAAATATTGCCAATATTTATAGTATTTTTTACAATGATAAGATGATTTTAATTTTTACTGCACCTTTCATATTTCACCCACCCGATATGGATACGGATTGGTGATTTTTTTTTTAGTATTTAACTCCAATCACACCGGGTGGAAAGTGGTGATCAAGCCAAATTACACTGTCTTAGCGTAAGAAAAGACTATTAACTCTTGCCTTGAAGACACCCATATTTTAATCTGAAGGAAAGATAAATTCTGGCTAATAATTCCACTCCCTAGCTGTAGTGTTGCATTACGAAAGGCGAAGTAAAGCTTTTGGTTTGAATATATGGGATATCGACTACACTGTCTGGTTGCCCAATGGGGGAGAGTGGAATGAGGATTGATGATTAAATGATTCTTCACATATATTCTGTCGATTTGCCTTAACAAATTTGTTATTTTTTCGTACGATTCCATTAGTGATATACGATATATGATCTCAAATTATTATTGTCCGCCTATGTTCAGTTAACTCTTGGACGCAAATGTATTCTAAAGCAAGATTTCCTATGCCCACGCTTGGCACGTGTCGCGCACTAGCTTGTACTTTTATGTTACGATATTGTTCCACACTCGTCCGGGGTAATGTTTTAATTGAGAGGATTGTAGTTAAGTCTGTTTCTCAATTTGTTTATTTCCTTATCTATCTTAGGTTGACATTTTGCTGGCATTTGTATTTGACTTGTACCACCTACCACACGATGGAGATGATGTCATGGTGGTCAGTGGTGTTCGAATTAATAATGTTTGCTTTCTGTCGCAAAGCATATACAAAATTACAAAACAGTAAACCTGGTTTTACTTGTTTTGAGCTTCAGAAGAGAACTCTGCGTTAGAAAAATTGTAACAATTCTCTCGGAGATGAAACCTATCTAGATAAATTTTGATGAAATTTTGTATTTAGATAATACAAGACAAAATTTAATCTGACTTAATGTATAGATTTAGAAGGACTGGATTTAGAATATTGCTACAAGGATTGAAGTCCTGGGACTTTCACAATATAAATAAATTTTTACCTAATGTAAATAATAATTAAAATGGCTACTTATGTAATAAAAAACATGAAAAAGGACCTGATGTATGAACGGTTGCACCGTACATGTTCCCGGGCGAGAAGAGATGATTATGAGATAAGCTAAACTAAAACAAATGAGACCGACATAACACTTATCGGCTAATTTACAAGATGATGACCCGACAATTTCTAGCGAGATTTCCTAAAATTACATTGTAATTAAACTACTATACGTGCTATAGCAAGAAGATAAGGTGATGTTCATAACACACTTGCAGCTGTTCTCCTTCGCGCCTACTCCTAATATCACTCCTTTGCAATGCTTGCGAGGTAATTCTAATCTTTTTGCGCCGTTTTTGGTGATAATCGAAGTTTGGGGCCCTTGGTCGATAAGAGCCCTCATGGAGTGAAGGGTACCATCGACAGCTTGGACGTTGATTTTAGCAGTTGCCAATAAAACCTCTCGGGTGTCCTCCAGAGACCCGTGAGTTTGATACCGCGCGGTCGGTTGTTGTACTCGGATTTGCAGCATTTGCGGATACGGCAAAGGCTTCGTGAACTAGCGTATGATGATTGCTTTGACAGTTATGGCATCTTTTCTTTGAAAAACATTCATTACCGTTATGATTATTAAGGCAGTAATACCATAAGGATAGCTTGGATGTTATTTGTCGCTTGAAATCAGGTCGATATGTTGACAATGTTTCGCAATACGGAATGGCGTGATCTTTATTGCAGATTGGGCATTTTTGCTTCGGTGCGGACGCTAACCTATTATTAAAATTATTTGATTTAAATGACGGAATTTGATTGATTGTGAATGCTTTAAAAACGAATGATTTTTTGAAATTAGTTGGCTGAAATGATTGTTGCGGTTGCTGATTTGACTTCTGGTGGTCTTGTTTGCGTTTTGACGACCACTAATGGCCTAGTGCCGGTGGACTTTGGGAGGCAGCAGTGAAAAGCCTAAAGCACCATCTGCGTAGAGTTGTTGCCGATCAAAAACTGACATATGAAGAATTTTCCACGTTATTAGCGCAGCTAGAAACCCGTCTCAATTCGAGGCCCCTTCGTGTATTGTCAGAAGACCTAGACGAACAAGTCCTTAAATGACAACCACTGGTGGTAGCTCCCACTGAACGTGGGGATGTCCATTTTTGAGGTTGACTTCTCCCGGTAAAGATCAGACCACATCTTGCTGTTGATAACTTTCTTCATGTTGCTGAGCTTTTGCTCATAGCTACTGAACATTTCTTCATACTCTTTATTATCTTCGCATAGTTCTCTGTCTATTTCCCAGTGCAAGGCGTCTGTTATCGTCCAGCGTGCCTGAACTGACTTCAGAATATGCTCATACTCCCATTTTTCAGAGACTTTGTCGAGATCGATGCTGCTAATAGTCCGCTGAAAAGCTTTGAAGTTGTTTCCCTGCTTTCTCAACATATCTACCTTGGGCTCGGCTCCATTCTGAAATTACCGCTGATGCAAAGCATCAGCTGTTATTTCAGAATGGAGCGCGCTGCCAGACGGTATAGCTGAAAAGCCTGTTTTTTGCAATGGGGTAGCTGGCCTGAGAAGGCTTTTTTCTGAGAGTTACTCGGTAAATAACTAAAAAGATAATTGCGTGTTTCATTATAAAAATCGAACGTTCTTTTATAGTAATTACCAGTAAAATATTCATGAGTTTTATCGTCAGACTCAAAAAGTTTAAGGTGATTACCTTGAAACTCCTGCCAATAGCTTTATAAAGTGCTAAGTCGCTTTTTAATATGAGCCGGTGTTTTGCGGTCGGCGCCTTTTTTAAAGTTGATTAGGATTTGACCCATAGCTCCCATTATTTGGTTCTGGCTAGCTAGAAGATCTTCCATTTTGACCAATTACTGTGGCTGTTGATTATAATATAGAGCTGTAGACTTACTAATGCTGCCTGCTGGTTGACTTACGTGGCGCGTCACCGCTTTCGCAATTCAAAATTGGTCCCTGACGACAGAGGTCCCGCTCACGGTATGCTCGAAGGACCATAAAGATGTACGTTACACATAAGATGTTTTTTTTATATGATAGGTGACAAACGAGCACACAGTCCACCTGATGGTAAGTGGTTGCTGTGGTCCATAGACATCCACATCTATCCTCGATTACGAATCAAAATGCAGATGAGTTGTCATCCGTGAGGACTTAGATGGAATGCCTCGTTTCCAGTAAAAAGGGTCTCCGGTTCTCTACACTCACCATACGAAACACAGCAGCATTAAGCTACTATTTGACGCTGGTATTCTGTGAGAGTGTGGTCCTCCCCCGGTCGAGCCGACCCATTCGTGCTACAACTATACTACTAATATAACTACAGCATGGCTCTACCTATGTATGCTGCTTGAGGTAAAATAGAAAATAAATTTAAAAACTGCTAATAGCTAATGATGAGAACACGAACGCGCTATGTGGCGATGCTATGTGAACTGATTCGATGAACAATAAAAATAAGATATGAGGTAAAAATGCTGATCGGGCGATTTGTGCGGTTGCACTGTACATCTTGTAAAGGCATTTTACTTAATTTTTTAAGAAAGCCTAATTCCGCATTTTGTAATCCTTTTATTTGAGGTGTACAGTTAAGAATAAATAAATAATTTCATGTTATGTGATATATTTATTTTTTCAATGAAAAATATCTATGGTCTGACTCATATGCTTTGGTTCTGCAGCCTATTTTGCGCACGTAAACGTATACATGAAATTTTGGACGTGCAGAATTAAATCAGGAACTTCAAAGGCGCGGTGCACTTGCATGTCGCAACTTATACGGGTGATCCCTTTCGTAAATTTTATTTGAATACATGTGAAAGTGCTCTGTGCAGCCCCGCTTAGCTTAAATTTATAGTTAAGTTAGATAGTTTATTTAAACTGACATACAATTTTTTAGTCTTATTGGACAGAAGTGTAAATTAATTCTTTACGTTTTTTTTAATAATTGAAATGCTGTGATTTTGTTTCCAACGTCTTTGTTTTATCTCATAATATTAATAGTAAAATATTTTTTTTAATCTAATATTTATACATTAATGTTAAAAGTAATAAATTAAATTGATGTATTTTTGTGTCTCTTTTTATCCATTTATATCTAAAGTTACAGTTTATAGACATCCTTCTCCTGGGACAAGCCTCCAGTTATTAACGAGAGTGTTTTAAGGCAAGTAAGTTTGTACCGCTGCCCAAATGCGTGTTAGCGGACTTCACATATCTTTATCTTCACCGCCAAGCACGTTTATTTACCACGTACACGTACGTACATCAGTACTTAAAATTGCAACTAACAATTTTATTATGTTTCTATTGTCACGACGTGGATCGAACCCGGTTGTGAAATTTAATAAACACGTGAAGCTTTTGAGTGATTCACAACGGATCCATTTATTTAGGAATAAAGGTGAAGGTACTGTCTCGACAATGCTTCCAATCATCGCCGGTTTGTATATTTTTACATGTATTTAAGAAAGCAATTGCAAGAATACAAAGTGTAGTTCAAAGTAGTTACCATTTTGACGATGCTTCCAATCGTCATCGATTTGTATATTTTTTACATTGATTTGAGAGAGCAATTGCAACAATACAAAGTGTAGTTCAAAGTAGTTACTGTCTCGACAATGCTTCCAATCATCGACGGTTTGTATATTTTTT